AAACGCTTCAGCCACACACCCTCCTGGATGCACTGACACAGACTGATGTACTCACTCTCAGTGGTAGACAATGCAACCACCGGCTGCCTCTTGCTCTGCCAAGAGATGGCTGCACCATTAAGGCAATAGACATAGCCAGTGTGACTCTTGCGATCAGCTGAATCTCCAGCATAATCAGCATCACTAAAGCCCACCAACTCAACCTGAGGCTTGCTGTGTGCGGGGTAGAATATACCTGACTTGACACAACCTTTCAAGTACCTTAGCACTCTCTTAGCAGCCTGCAGGTGAAATGCCTTGGGACAAGACACCACCTTGGACAGTTGTGACACCGCATAAGCAATCTGGGGCTGTGTGGTCGTGCTTGCATACATGAGAGACCCCACAATGCTTTGATAGAGCTGGACCAGCTCATCTCGCAGCAAGGGCTCCTCAGCATGTGCATGCACGTCGAACCCTGTAGGGAGAGGGGTACGCACGGGGTTAGCCTCAGAAAGGCCAAAGGACTCAAGCATGTTGAGAATGTACCTCTCCTGATGAATCAAGATGCCACTCTCATCACGCTCAATCTGCACCCCCAAATAGTACTTAGCCTCCCCCAAGTCTTTCATGCGGAAACGAGAGGACAAGAGACCCTTCACCTCGTCCAGCAAGACCATGCTCGAAGACATGAGCAGAATGTCATCCACATAGAGGTAGAGGGACAGCCTGCCCTCATGCCTCACCAAGTGGTACAACGCGGGGTCACACTCTGACCTCTCAAACCCAAAATCCATCAGCGCCTCGTCAAACTTGAGGTACCACTGCCTTGGAGCTTGCTTTAGCCCATAGATTGATTTCCTGAGTCGGCAAACTCTGCCGGACCCATCATCAAAGCCAGGGGGCTGCCTCATGTACAGCTCCTCCTTCAAGACCCCATGAAGATAGGCAGTGGTCACATCCATGTGATGGATGTGAAACCCCGAAGATGCTGCCATCCCAAGGGAACCTCTCAGGGTGGTAGGTTTACCCACCGGGGTATATACCTGGTCATAGTGAACGCCTCGTGTTTGAGTGTTCCCCATGGCCACCAACCTGGACTTAGGCCTCTCAATACTCCCATCAGCCATGTGCTTATACTTCCACACCCACTGACACCTCAAAACCTCCATTCCAGGTGGCACACAAGCTGGATCAACCAGCTCAAAAGACTCGTTCACCCTATGAGACTCAAGCTCCGCACGCATAGACTCGACCCACTCAGGACGGGACAAGGCCTCCTTGACCGACTTGGGCTCATGCACCTGACCCATGAGACAGAAATCAAGCCCAAGCTCACCCCCCTCAGCATCCACAAACATGCACTCCTCCAAGTCATGCACCTCATGATCATGCATGCAAGCATACTGTGCACTTGGTGTGAACCTTTTAGGTGGCCGGGAGATGCGTGTGGTGCGGCGCAGAGGTGAAGCCTCCCCCTGCTCCAAACTTTGCAGCTTCTCCTTCCAAGTCACTCTCTTCATGGGGGACCGTGGTGACTTGGACAGCTGCTGCTGCAGTAGCTGCTGCCACCTACCCACAGGAACAGGCGGTGTATGCTCCTGTGGTGGCTGCTGCGGCTTCTCTTGTTGCTGCTGCTGCTCCTGTGGCTGCTCCGGGTCATGGGCTGGTGCGTTAGGGTCAGGGGTAGAACCAGCAGCTGGTGACTCCTCATGGTGAGGTGCAGCTGCTTTTTGTCCCTCTTGCTGCTCCTCTACCTCCTCTCCAGGGTCCTCCCATGCCCCCTCAAAGATGGAAGAGGTGTAGGGATCCTGAAGGGAGCTCCCAACTGTACTAGCACCATGCTCCTTCCACCCCTTATAGCTCAGCCCCTCGTGGAAAACCACATCCCTGCTTTCCACCACCCGCTGATCCGCCACACTCCACAACATCCAAGCTTTGCTCCTCTCCGACACCCAAAAAAAAATGCCCCATTGTGCCTTAGGATCCAGCTTTCTCCGTTGCTGGTCGGGCACTTTGTACTGCGCCATGCACCCCCACACTCGTGCCATGGACACACTAGGCACCTTCCTGGTCCACATGAAGTAAGGGCTCTTGCCCCCTAGCCCCTTGCTGCCCATTCTGTTCTTAACCCAATTGGCATATTGCACTGCTGCCCCCCCACCAAGTATGGTCCAGCTGCGCATGAGCAAGCATGGCTCGGGCAAGGTCAATGAGGGTCCGGTTTAGCCGCTCCGCTGCCCCATTTTGCTGCGGCGTGTAGGCAACTGAAAGCTGGTGGGTGATGCCCTTGTCTTCAAGGAAAGACTCCAGATCCTTCCCCATGTACTCCCCACCCCGATCAGACCTTAGTATCTTCATCTTCGCCCCGGCTTCCCTCTCCGCATAGCGTATCCAACGTTTGAAGACCTTGGCCACCTCATCCTTGGTTTTCACCAAGGTAACCCAACTTAGGCGGCTGAAGTCATCCAAGAAGGTGATGAAGTATTTGCTGCCCTTCTCCTTATCCGGTGTTTGCATGGGGCCACACACATCTGTGTGCACCAACTCAAGAGGTGCGGAGGCTCTAGTGGTGGAGGTAGGGAAAGAGGTCCTTGGCAGCTTCCCGGTCGTGCAATCAGGGCACTTGCTTGGCTGCCCACCACCCTCCTTGATCTCCACACCCTTCAGCTCCCCCTTCTTCACACACTCCACAAGTTGCTGCCTTCCTGCATGCCCCATGCGTAGGTGCAGCAAATCTGCCGTCACCTGCTCCACGTCCCTCCAACGGCTGCTACAAGCGGCTTCCTCGGCTTCAACTCCATGTGCCCTCTCCACCTGAGGCACACAAACTGGAACAAGGTATAGGCCCTTCTCTAATTTGGCCTCCATCACCACAGCTCCACCCTTGCGAACGGTGCCACCTTCCATGGTGAAGGTGCATATGTATTCTTGCCTCGCAAGTTGAGAGCATGAGAGAAGGTTGGCTGCCAAATCAGGAACATGAAGCACACCCTTCACATTCAGCACCTCCCCCTCCTTCCCCATGACGGTGATGGTGCCGATGCCGATTGCTTGCAGCGTATCTCCGCTCCCCACAATCACATTTCTGGAGTTAGGTGGGAGGGAGTGATAAGTGGTGAAGAGGTCGCGCCGAGGTACCATTCCACAGGTTGCTCCAGAGTCTAGAATGAGCTGATTGGGGTCAGCCAACGTACGACCAGCAAGCGCCATCTCCTTCTCTAAGGATAAGAAGGAGAAGCCATCATCCGATAAGTCCTCCTTTCCCTTCTTATCCTCGTTTGCCGCCGCTGCTGCCGCTTTCTCTTTGCTGCCCTTCTTGTTCCATGCTCCATTCTTCATCCTCCTCTCCACCCACTCAGGCCTAGTGACAGGTGGAGCCTCTCCTGGGTACCCTTGAGGCTTCCACCCATCTGGTCGGCTCTAGCACTCCTTCCAAGAGTGCTTCCGGTTGCATCCAGGGACGAGGCACTTGTCGAGCTCCTTCTTCTTCCCCCCACCTCCGTGCCGCTGCTGGTATTTCTTGGAGGCAGCCCTATCACCTGCCCCCATTCCTCCTTCAATTCCTCTACCAGCATCACGCTTGCGAGCCTCATCAGAAACCAACACCTCCCATATCCAGGCCTTGGTCCATTTCTGCTGCTCTAGGTGAAGATACTGCAGTAGGGCCTCGTTCGCCTCTTGGTCCAGCCCCTGGAGTGCGGTGTAGATGATCTCTTTCTCATCTACAGTGTAGTTCAACTCCTCTAAGGCTCTCACATACTCATCCACCCTCTGGAGATACTGCACCATGGTCTCCCCATCACCATAATTGCGTTCCATGGTGTAGAACCGCTTCCTCCAGGTGAGTATACTTAGTAGCCCTTTTTGCAAATGGCGATCTTGAACTCTCTTCCATGCTTGGGCAGCTGCTCCTTGCTTCCCCTTCAGGTCAATCAGCATCTTTAGGAGCTCTAGTTGGCCTTCCAAGGCCCAACACAGGTACTGGAACGCTTGCTTGTCCTTGCGGTCCCATGCTTCCTGTGCCTTAAGAAGCTCCTCCGCACTAAGCCGTTGCCTTCCGGTTCGCGGTGCTGCTGATCCACCTCCACTTCCCTCAGTTATGGATGAGCTAGAGGCTCCCCCAGCCCCTTCTCCCACTTGGCTAGAGACTCCAGTAGATGCCTTTCCTTCATCAGCTTCAGGTCTTCGCTCCGATCCCTCCAAAACGCCCTCTAGGTCTTTAATACCTAGCCAGAGCGTAAACTGGAACCGCCATAGCGAAAAATCCGAGCCGGTGAACCTAGGAGGGCCATCTAATTTCTGGGCCATAACCAACCCTAGATCTGGAGGTTCTTAAGCCAATTCGAAATGTGATAATAGGAGGGAATGTCGCAGGCCTAACCAGCTCTGATACCACTGATGGAAAGCGAGCAAATCTGGAGAGCGTACAAGAGATTAAGTCCGCCGAATTCGACGGAACATTGCGTGCAGCTCACGTAACCTTAAACTATAAGCAGGTACGCGTTGGAAAGGTCTTAATCTCTACTTTCCAGAATGGTAACGCACGCTTTCAACCAAGATCTAGGCCGATCGCTATCGCGATCTAAGTGCGACGGTGTATTCTGGCGGAATTAATAGGCAGCCATGGATTAGATCAAGAGACTAGCTTTAGCAAGAGTTCAGATCTGAAAAGTGACGAGTTGTTCAAACCCTACCAACCCAACCCTCGCCCTACAACAATCCCCAACAACCCAAAGTGCTAAACTAGCAACACCAAAGGTGTTGTAGTGAATAGCAAAGGTTTGTTGGTGGTGCTTGTTGGATGCGAGATCAATTCCAGCCCGCAACAAGTCTAACCACCACATTTTGCCCAAACCCTTAGCCCACAACCAGCTAGAGCAAAATACCACAACCACCTACACAATCAACAGAAGCAAGTGGGATGAGCAAGAGATATACAAATTGAAAATGTTAACATCCGATACAGCCATTTCTGATTCACATATTGCAAAATAATGTACTACATCTTGAGCACTCACCGTAATTGACCAGTTGAGGACGTTTTAAGGAGCACATCCAAGCCTCCACTAAGAGGATTGTAGCTGAGGTCTCTGTAGGGGGCATGAGAGATGGTTAGCATGGCAAGCAAACACTGGTGATGAGGGCAAAGGTAGAGAGGGAGATACATGCAGTGTGATGGATGGAGAAAAAGGGAGGAAGCGCCTGGAAGTGGTTGTTAATGCAACCCCTTGGCTGTTCTGCACCTGTTGTCTAGTGGTTTGGACACGTGTTGGTCATTCATAGACAGATTAGTGTGTATGTGCCCAACCATGAGTGATGGGGAACAGACAGGTATGGGAGAGAGAGTGATTCATCAAACAGTTACAAGTGTTTTCATAGATTAATCATGCATCGCGCATAAAGCAACAAGGAGATGGATAAGAGGGCCTATACTCTGTACTACACACTCTGCCCCAATCGCGTGTGATCTTCACGGCTAAGGAATCAACAGCCGGCGCTGACGCGATGGTGATTGACAGGTGGCCCACAGCACGGACCAGCTACAGCAGCTCAAGGACAAGCAGCCGCTGCCGACACTCCGGCAGTCGCTGCTGCCCCATCGCCTCCCTGTAAACTGACTCCTCAGGTGTGCTGCGCTGGCTTCGTCCTGACCGTACCCATGCCACAGCTAGCCGTCGTGGTGTGTGCAGCGATGATAGTGCCTCTGCTCCCCAACCCTGTTAAATGGAGGGTCCCCATTGAAGGGGGGATTCGCTATCTACCTCGACGGCAGCCTGCCTGCACTCGTCTGTATACCCTATAAGGTAGTTTCTTCAACTCTCCTGGATTCACGAGGTTGTTTCAAGGTGGGCTTCACTCACCTTGCTCGAGCCATTGGCGGCAAAGGGCTTACACTAAAACCCAATCATGTCAAGCTGGCATGATGGACCCACTATGTGGAAGCGCCTCTGAGACTGAGATTGCTGGCCTTGCATGACAGCTCTGTGTTCTGCCGAGCAGCCAAGACGTAGCACGGTGCGCGGTGAAAGCTGATGCCCGGTGGAGGAGATAAGGCAGGTGATTCACTAGGGGTGCGGCGTACTGGACCCGGTACTTACGCGTGACATGCAAGGGGCAGGGCGGCACATCTCACATGCTATACACGTTTCCATTGACGGGCGCAGATCCCTTGAGGTCGTTGTGGCTCAGCTTGCTGCAAGGGACAGGGAAGGATGGAAGAGGGGGGGGAGGGTGGAGAGATTTCAATCATATACTGTTGCGCCACCTTGAAGCTTTGTCAACTGTTTTCCCATGCATTGAAAGTTGCTGACATTCTGCAAGCTTCTGTAACTTGATCTAAACAGTGAGACAGCAAAACAGTCGAACGCAAGCATGACATGAGCAAGCATCACCTCGGCCCGTGAGACCGGTGACTTGGGTTTGACTCCACTTCAAGCCAAACTAAATTAATTACCAGACTGAATTAACAGGCAACCCATCTAATGATGTAAGACAGCACTCGATTTGAGCCATCCTAAACTTCACACAGGTCAATTGACTGAATCAACGTTACATTCACCCCAGTCCAGACCATAAATCATTGACAAAAACAAACTTATGTCAACCTGAATTGACTCTTTTCATGTCAGTTTTCTCAAAAGCTCAGCTTCTTGGTCATGTCATTGATATCAAAAGTGACGAGCTTATTGCAGGTCAAGTCCCTGAACTCTAAAGCAACATCACCCATCACTTTCTCTCTCGAATGGTCCTTTGCATCACCGAACAACGGCAAAACAACCCCTAGCCAGCAACATAGGGATCCAGTTGCTCCTAGTGGAGCATCTTCCATGGGAGTGGGGCACTTGCTTGCTCTCTCACAGCACTAATTTTCTGGCACCGAGCAAAATAATGAGGAGAGGCCTCATAAAAGAATTTGTGTGGCATACCCCTTATTCAAGGACCTTATTTACTCCTCCCTTGCTCACGCCCACATACCCTCAATCCACCAAGGACTTACATAGTTTCCGCAGAGATGGCAGTAGGCATGGTGGTGAGGTGATTGTGGGAGAGGTCTCTGCACACAGTGAGGGCACGCAGTGAGGGCAGGTGGAGAGGAAAGGATGTGGAATTGAGAAGGGACATGCATGCTGAAACAAGGGTGGAAGTGCTTGACTGATACACGGCAAAGGGATGTGCGATTCAAAACAGCTATTTGGAGGAGCACGAGGCGGGTTTGTTGAACATAACGTGCACGGCGCATGTCATAACAGGGTGGTGTGAGATTATCTGAATCTTCACACAACCTTCGCTATCAAGAGCAAAAAGCAGCACAAAGAGCTCCCTTAGTAACCGAAAGAAACACATACATACATTCCTGAAGCAGCAGCAGAAGAATCCGAAAGGGATTTTTGAAGAAAAACTGCCACGAGAGGAAAAGGCATAGTGAAAGAGCCTAACCAAAAAAATCCACCAGCTGATTCCGTTGGCTGTCCCTTGTATGCTTGTGAGGAAAGGTGTGTGTTAGAAACTCACAAGGTCTGGAGGAATCCGCGAATGGCAGGAACGGCGCCGGTGAGATTGTTGTAGGAGAGCCCCCTGTGTTGTATGGAGGCAGGCAAGCGTGGGGAGAGGCCAATGCATACATGTGAATTAAGGAGATTTTTCAGTTGACTCAAAAGGCATGCATGGACTTTTAATCATGGCAATGCAACTCTGTGCAGTGGATTGTCATTCCATACGAGGGAGAGGACCTGAACAGTGCAGGAATGGCTTCAAGCTATTGGCTGCTTGCGATTTTGCATCTCAGTTATTATCTTCATCATCGTGGCTCAATGACGTTCTTGTGCATGCTGATCCGCCCTGAAAACCATGGTGAAAAGTAAAAACACAGTATTTTTTCAGGTGCTTACAGAGATCTCAGTTCAGCGAGCTTGGAGATGCCGGCAGGGATGCTTCCTGTGAGGTTGTTGAAATAGAGCTCCCTGGTGGGGCCATTTCGAGGAGGGGAGAGAGGTTGGCGCTGCCTTGTAGGAAACGACAGGATGAACCGCCTTCACATATCTATCCCTTCTCCAAGTTGGCCCTCGCAGCCTGCTACATCAAAATCTGGTGCTCTTAACCTGGTGCTCTCAATCCGCTGCTCACAACCTGGTTCTTACAACTTGATGCTTTTGCGTATTGTGTGGGGAGGGGATGACCAAGAAATCGAGAGGAGAGTGGGTGGGAAGGGAGGCGTACAGGTCAGTGAGGGCGGTGAGGGCGGAGATGGTGGAGGGGATAGAGCCAGTGAAGCCATTCAGACCGGCCCGCCTGGAGGTGGAAGGGGAGGGAGGGGAGGGGGAGGAGGGGAGAGCTGGACGAGTTGCTGGTTGGCTGGTGGGCAAAGTAGTGGGTATAGTGGCCAGCCGGACAAACAGGAATAGAACGGTAGGAGCGGCCTGAGCAGCTCAAATACGTCAAACCAAAATCCTGTGCTCTTGACACGGTGGATGGCTCACAAAGTTTGCAGCCCTGTAAACGCCATCCATTCAGTGGGGAACGGTGCAGAGCGGTGGACATTAAAGTTGCCGGTGACGTCCCTGCTGTGCGTTCAAGGGCAGGAAGGTGGCGAGGAAGGCATGGGCATAGGCACTGTAGTGAGCTCTTGTCGGTGAGGGTGGAAATTGGAGGAGGCACAGGGCACAGTAGCCAAGTTACTCTAGGCACAGGGCACAGTAGCCAAGTTACTCTAGGCACAGGGCACAGTAGCCAAGTTACTCTAGGCACAGGGCACAGTAGCCAAGTTACTCTAGGCACAGGGCACAGTAGCCAAGTTACTCTAGGCACAGGGCACAGTAGCCAAGTTACTCTAGGCACAGGGCACAGTAGCCAAGTTACTCTAGGCACAGGGCACAGTAGCCAAGTTACTCTAGGCACAGGGCACAGTAGCCAAGTTACTCTAGGCACAGGGCACAGTAGCCAAGTTACTCTAGCACAGGGCACAGTAGCCAAGTTACTCTAAGCACAGGGCACAGTAGCCAAGTTACTCTAGGCACAGGGCACAGTAGCCAAGTTACTCTAGGCACAGGGCACAGTAGCCAAGTTACTCTAGGCACAGGGCACAGTAGCCAAGTTACTCTAGGCACAGGGCACAGTAGCCAAGTTACTCTAGGCACAGGGCACAGTAGCCAAGTTACTCTAGGCACAGGGCACAGTAGCCAAGATACTCTAGGCACAGGGCACAGTAGCCAAGATACTCTAGGCACAGGGCACAGTAGCCAAGTTACTCTAGGCACAGGGCATGGATTTGAATGAAGGAGATTTTTTAGTCAACTCAAAAGGCATGCATGGCCTTTTGAGTTGCGGCAAATGCAGCTAAGTGCAGTGGATGGGGAGGGAGGACTTGAACAGTGGGAGAGGCACAGGGCACGCCGATCGGTGGACCAGGGAGGCACAGCACAGGGCAGTATGGCATGTGGAAGAACAGCGCATGGTCACATAGTGAATGTTAAGAGAAGCACTCAAGTGAAGGTGGCACAACTGAGTTAGAGAGCGAGCTTTCGCAGGTTCGCCTTGGCAAAGCCCCAGCAGCGCAGCGAGCAAGGCAAAGCAGTCAGTGAGTGCGCAGATGGTAGGACTATGGCGAGTCACATGTGGTGCAGGGGGGACAGGAGATGGAACCCATAAAAGGGACGTGCATGCGCCTCTTTTCCCAAGTGAAGCAATTGCAAGGTACGACAGAACGTGTTGATATTTAGGGCTGAGTGGGGCGAGGGGCTGTTGGTGCCACGTACAAGTAAACGAGCCCGGAGAGTGAACTGATCCATTGCGGTAAGCGGGTGATGGGAAGGAAACTAAGGTCACTGCCACAGATGGAAGAACAGAGGGGAGAGAGGATTGGCACAACCCCAAGCTCCTTATCTAGTTCGACGATGGGCATGTCTTCATGGTTCAATAATAGGACCGATGAACCCTTGAAAGAGAAACGTGTATGCATCCTCTTATATCTTGATGGTTTGATAATAGCACCAATTAACCACTAGAGGAAAGACCTGTACCCGGGAGGGATAAACTGCTTCTGATTTCAATTGGATCATAATAATGTGGTGCAAGCACGTGCCCAGAGCTACCAAGAACACGACACTATCATGGTTGTTCTTTGCTGGTCCCAAAACAATGCATTAAACATGGCATGGGCCCGGCAACAGCGCGGTGGTTACTCAAGAGACTTACAGGAACCCAAGTTTACTAAGGGCAGAGAGAGAGGAAGACAGCTGTCCAGGCGCGAGGTTAAGATTCATGAGAGAGATGAGAAGAAGTGAGGATGGAAGAGAGAGCAGCATGTTGAAGCAATGCAAGTGAGAGGATGAAACTCAATGCTCAAGTGTAGACACACGAAATCTAGGGAGGTGAGTGAACGTGAGTGAGCGAGGCTTTGAGAATGATGCACGGGGAAGTGCCACGTGGAATGTGGGTGAGAGAGGGGCAGCAGCAGGCGGAGAGCCACTTGGCAGAAGGAGCTGATTCCGTTGAGCAATGGAAAGGAGCACTCGTTGGTCGAGCGAGAAAGGAAGGCGGGAAGGGATGAATGAGAAGGGAGGAGAATAGGGAGAGACATGAGTGAGATGAAAGTAGGCGAGTGAGTGAAAGGGGAGCAGAAGGTGGGTAGGGATGGGTGAGAAAGTGGTGCGGATGAAAGTGAAGCATACAGGAACTGTAGGCGAGTGAGTGGGGCAAGACAAGAGAAGTCGTCCATGGAGCCTTCCATCACTGGGGAACTCATGGATGACTGAGTCAAGAGAATACTGCGAAAAACACACTCAGCGGGGTGAAAGGATACGGGGAGTGACCAGCTTTCTGTGGGCTACATTTGCACACATCATGACAACAGCCATAGTCGCAGCAGGGGATATTGTCCTATGAAGCCCTGTGTGCGTGGGTGCATGGAGCAGTGAGCAAGAGGGATTGAGAAGGCTGGAGAACGAGAGGCACTGAGGCGTGTGAATAGAGCAGCTTGGAACACACGGCTGGCATTGCCTTATGATCTGCAACTGCAAGTCATTGCAACTGGCTGTTCAGTACTGGACGCTTTGCACTGCAATTGCAAGTCATTCCTAGAGCATCCCACGCATCAGCTTCTCGAGATGCACGCACACGTGCCACCAACCGCATTCTACAACTTTTGGGTGTAACGAAACAATGCGACTGGCACACACCATACGCCATCGCATGCACGAGCAGGCACAGGAGCCCAAAGCTATCTCCATCAATCTCACTTGGTTGGGTCGGAGCTAAGAGTTGGATCCACATCTGAGACATAGAATTGACGCATTCCAATATGCCTGCATGTTGGGGGGGTGCGCAAAGGTAGAAAATGGGAGTCAGGGCAAGGGATGCTCGTGCACGAAACAGACTGGTGCAGTTTGACAGAAAGTGGAGCAATGGTTGGGATGTGAGGAAAGCACAAACCAGCATGTCAACACGAGTTGTAAGTGATGCCCATGGCTGCAAGGAGATGGAAGAGAACGGAGAGCTCTAGCAAGGAGAAGGAGAAGGTACAGGGTTTTGAGTGCAGTGAGGCGACTGATGCTGCAAGGGAGACTTCCACTGAGAGCCAAGCCCGTGAGGTCACTGGGATGGGATGCATGCAGATTGGTGCACAGAAGCGGTTGCCACAACAACGTTTAATGGCACAGAAATATGATGATATTAAATCCCAGAAGTTCGCTAATTGGTACTGAAGGGGTAGGATGTAGACTGTCCAGCAGCAAATGGAAACAAACTAAACGAGAGTGGGAAAAAAATCCTCCCCCCCCCCCCCCCCCCCCCCTCCAAAAAAAAAAAAAATAAAAAAAAATCATAGCAGCAACTTTAAGAAAAACAAACCCTATACCCTAAACAAACACACACACACACACACACACACACACACACACACACACACACACACACACACACACACACACACACACACACACACACACACACACACACACACACACACACACACACACACACACACACACACACACACACACACACACACACACACACACACACACACACACACACACACACACACACACACACACACACACACACACACACACACACACACACACACACACACACACACACACACACACACACACACACACACACACACACACACACACACACACACACACACACACACACACACACACACACACACACACACACACACACACACACACACACACACACACACACACACACACACACACACACACACACACACACACACACACACACACACACACACACACACACACACACACACACACACACACACACACACACACACACACACACACACACACACACACACACACACACACACACACACACACACACACACACACACACACACACACACACACACACACACACACACACACACACACACACACACACACACACACACACACACACACACACACACACACACACACACACACACACACACACACACACACACACACACACACACACACACACACACACACACACACACACACACACACACACACACACACACACACACACACACACACACACACACACACACACACACACACACACACACACACACACACACACACACACACACACACACACACACACACACACACACACACACACACACACACACACACACACACACACACACACACACACACACACACACACACACACACACACACACACACACACACACACACACACACACACACACACACACACACACACACACACACACACACACACACACACACACACACACACACACACACACACACACACACACACACACACACACACACACACACACACACACACACACACACACACACACACACACACACACACACACACAACACACACACACACACACACACACACACACACACACACACACACACACACACACACACACACACACACACACACACACACACACACACACACACACACACACACACACACACACACACACACACACACACACACACACACACACACACACACACAAAACAAACAAGTACTAATAAACATTTTCATTGTTTAAAGTTGAATGCGGACGTGCTGAAAAAATGAGTTACTCTTCCTGCCCGACCATGCCTTGGCACTAGACTAGAATCCCCTCTTACAGATAATTCAGACTCGTGGCATTGCTGATCGATTTAGGGATGGATCCACCGAAGCCGGTATAGCTCAGATCTCTGTCAAGTAGAATGGCAACCAGGTGGGTGGGGAAGGCAGAGCTTAGGCGTGGGAGAGGGCAGCGG